TTTCTTACCCCATTGGCAGATTATTTTGCTTGTTTCAAGCAAAAACTCACTTAAATTCGACTTGTTTTTTCTGAAAACAAGACAATCATTTTTACTTGTCTAGAAAAATCCTTCTTGATTTAAGAATTTTTAAATATTTTGGCTGGAAACAAGACAAAAGCTAAGCTAGAAAAAAAATTTTTGCAGTGTATAAAAAAAAAGAAAGAAATATATTTTCATTATAATTACTGGTTACCTCAAATGTTTAATGTTGTACATTATATATCAAATAATTCAAATACTGTAATACTTTTGTAATATTGTATAAACAAATAAATAAATAAATGTATGTATTATAGTATTGATATTAGATTTGTAATGTGAGTATAAAGTCTTTAAGAAAGTAACATTCTTCTAAAATCACTTCAAATGGCTTAATGTTCTAAAACAATGACCTCTACCATAAACACTAACTACTGCAAAAAGTAGTAAGGTCACTAAGCTTTTTGTCTCGCATAGAAAACTATAAAATAAATAGCGTATCTGTCACAATAGGAGTTGAACTTTCTTTTCTTTGTTATAGACATGGCATTGGAATGGCAGCTTGAAATTTCCACATTATTGCCAGCTTGCTTTAGTGTCATGATTGTGACAATTCAACAATGACTCCTTTCTATTATACACTTAAATTATGAGTCAAGTATGTTGCAGCTAAGGTTCTGCTCTTCTAAACATAGCCAATGTGTGTTTTCTGTGACAGAAGTTGCACATCTATGGAGCTTACAACAGCACTGGCACTCGTCACTGACTCCAACCAGACCGTCAAGAACGAGTCATCTGTGGCCTGTTCGCGCGAGAGCGCTCTGAAGACAACCGTGTTCCCTCTTCTCTACACCGTGCTCTTCATCCTGGGCTTGTCGCTGAACAGCCTGGCAGCATGGGTGTTCCTCCGAATCCCCAGTAAATCTCACTTCATCATCTATCTGAAGAACATCGTGGTGGCCGACATTATCATGACCCTCACCTTCCCCTTCAAGATCCTCGCTGATGCCAACTTGGCATCTGTCGGCGAGCGTGTGTTCGTCTGCCGTGTGTCATCCGTGCTCTTCTACCTCACCATGTACATCAGCATCCTCTTCTTCGGCTTGATCAGCATCGACCGCTGCAGAAAGACCATGTGGCCCTTTGTGGGCACCAGCCCTAGACGCCTGCTGCACAGAAAGCTCCTCTCCGGCTTCATTTGGACGTCGCTCTTGGCTCTTTCTCTGCCCAACGTAATCCTGACGAGCCGGCCCAACACTTCGAGTCGCTTTAAATGCAGTGACCTCAAGACAGAGATGGGACTGAAGTGGCACGAGCTGGTCAATCACGTGTGCCAGGTGATCTTTTGGGGGAACCTCGTGACGGTTATAGTATGCTACACGCTCATCTCGAAAGAGCTCTACAAGTCTTACGCCCGCACACGAGCTCAACACCAGGCAAGGCCAGGAACAAACACCCCTCAGAAAAAGAGCATTCAAGCCAACGTGTTCCTGGTGTTGGCGGTCTTCTTTGTTTGCTTCGTCCCCTTCCACTTCGCCCGAGTGCCGTACACCATCAGCCAGACCCGAGGACGCATGTTTGATTGCCAGCAGAAGCTGTTTTTCTTCCAGCTGAAGGAGAGCACGCTGTGGCTGTCCTCCCTTAACTCTGTGCTGGATCCGCTCATCTACTTCTTCCTCTGTAAGTCGTTCAGGAGCTCGCTGTTCAACACCATGCGTCTGTCTCCGGGCCGCTGCAGGGCGCTCAGGGAGCTCGGGACAGACTCGGCCAGCACTCCTCAGATGTGACGGACAAACAGTCTTTCTGTGCTGCTGGAAACACTCTCATCAATGTGAAAATGATAGGGTTCTTCTACACTAATAATCTTACTGACATCAATATTCTTCTGTGTGTAAACATATTTTCGTGCTCAGAGCTGGGCAGTGACTGATCACATATAATCTGGATTAATCAGGGCTGCGTTTCCCAAAATAAGTACATCGTAGACCCACTAAAACCAATGGAGCTATGATCAACTTAAAGGCACAATATGTAAGATTTTTTTATTAAAATATCCAAAAACCACTAGAACAGTGTTATATATTTTGCTGACTTGTGTACTTACATTATCCCAAATGTTTCGAAGAATGTTTAAATCCAGAGAAATAAGCAATTTTAACTAGTGACACGGACCGTGTCCATAGTGTCATTGTGTCGCCTGCCAATGACGTCATAACCCCTCAATTTCCGGTTTTGTTTTGTAGAAAACATGGAAACACCAAAGACACTTTAATATGTTACATACTCACGACCGGAAGGAGCGGAAGCGGTCGACTGTGGCATAATAAAAGCTCCGCTGCTTTCGAGCCGTGTGTCGCGCTCGTTCAGCGGCCTCGTTTCGCTTCGACGGCTTTCAGCCTCACCCTGCTTCATTCTACTACGTTAATAAATCATTAGCTCATCCATGAACATGATTTCTGCCCGAGTCCCGTCGGATTGCGTCGGCTGTGGGGATGAAGACCACAGCTCCCATGATTCCACACTCAGTCACAGCGTCATCAAACTACGCCTTTGATTCTTTGTTTGTTTTGAATACGCGCCCTCTAGCGGCGAAAATTATATATTGTGCCTTTAAGCTTACGATGCTTTTGGGAAACGCAGCCCAGATTCCAAAAATTGAGTAGGGCCTACTTGTAATTAGATTACATTTTTCATAATTATAATCAGATTACAGTTACTTTTTTATGAGTTACATGATTACATATTATTTACACAATAGCTATATATTTATTGATTCTCTCTAATTCCTCTTTTTCATCTTTTAATGTTCCTTTCTAAAATAGTCCACTGTTTATATACACTCAGAAATTCTTCCAGTTTTGTGGGCGTTCACACAGTTATTAGTCATGTGGACCAATGCAATTACAAAAATCTTTTCAGGTTTAAGAAGTGTTTGAACATTGCATCGACTAGTGATGAACACATTCATTTTTATTTGAATTATCACTCTGTAGGTTATTTAACCATGTATCACTATAGCTTTGGGAGGCTTTTGTCTTTCAAACACATTAAAATGCACAAATTCACAAAAATTCACCTAATATATTTTCTTGAAGTACCCCTGAGATTTTAATATAAATATTTTAATAATTAAGTATCACATTTGCATGTTGATGGTTCTCTGATGCTGGTTATGGTCACATGACATGCGGGTAAACAAATAAAATATTTCATGTTTTAGTACGTGTTTTATTTTGATTGATTTTAAAATGATTTAAAAACTATTAGCTTTTCATTAAACTCACAAACCCTCATGCAGTTCCTTCACAAACCCAATTTGGGAAAACTTGACGTAACAATGTTTAATGCACTTCATCTTTTTAACATCAATGAATGGAATATATTCTTAATCTTTGTATTTTTATATCAATATGGTACAAGATTATTCTATTTAAATCAATGTGAAAAAGGAGATAGGTCAAAAGTAATCTAAAAGTAGTCTGATTATATTACCTAAAATGTGTACAACTACAATATTTGTCATGCAATTTGGAATCAGTAACGGATTACAATTTGTGAGTAATTTACCCAGCTCTGATCATGCTGTAACAGCTACATTGGTGAATCAAATGTTTTATTTTATGTTTTTTTTATTTATTTTTTATTCAAACCTGCAATGACTGGCTAGTGGATGTAAGGGTGCCAGCAGACAGTCTGTCTTAAAGTGTACCAAGAAAACTCATACCTCAGTGTCAGTCATTGGGGTAACACTTTATTTTGATAGTCCCTTTAGAGACTCAACTAACTTTAAGTAATTTTGCAAGTACATGTCAACTACCAACTACCAGCCATTAGAACCATTGCAAGGGACAAAGGCCCAGGATTTAAAGGGATTTCAGAGAACAAATAAAACTAGTAAAATAAATAGAATGTATTGTAATGCATTTGAACTATTTGCAAATAATGTTTATTTTAAAATATGTACACATTCACTCTTAATCATATGTCGAAAACAGCTCTGTTAATGTGTTTTGTGTCGTCACATTAAAAACAGATAACATGGATCAGAATGACATATTTTCAAATTAAAAATCTAATTGGCAACTTTTGACAAGAGAAGTTTATGTCACTGGATGACTGTCAGTCATTTAGCAGTTGATAGAGTATATTAAATTGTTAAGGTAGCCTACCTTGAATTTTTTAACTGTTAAAACTGATGCATTGTGCAGTAATTTACACCGTTAGTTCACTAAGGCAAACTGGCCTAAAAATATAATATTTTGCATGTTTTGTCATCCTAACAAGATACAGAGCGATGCAGTGCAGCAAAGCAGCATCAATAATATCAGATATTGGGAACATGTCCTCCTCAATGTCTACCGATATTGTGTAATGCAAACAGTACAGAATCACTCAACAAACATAAGAAAAATCTCCTTCTATTGTAAGAAATGTCAGACTTAAAAACAACTGTCCTTCCTGTTTTAAAGAAGACAGAACATTTCGGACGGCAGTAAAAATAAAGAAACAGCAAACATATTCAAGCGTCTGAACACCAACAAGCCTCTAAACACATAAACGCAAAAGCTTCATCATTGCAGAGCTGCAATTTTAACCACTCTTAAAGGCACTATCTAGACAAACCTCATTCTTTACATGGCTGGGAGGGCAAATAATAGCATTTTAGCTACAGTGTCTAACTCACACTGGGGCCTCGCATAATGCCAGTCATTAATGTATTAGACTGTCTGCTGAACATTTTATTTTGATGGACATTCTACTGACTACAAGACTATACTGACTGCAAATACATGTCAACTAACCATAACTAACACACACACACACACACACACACACACTCACTCACTCACTCAC